TGTTGGTTGCTAAGAGAAGGGATAACTATGATGAGAAAACTGTATATATTCGACCTGTTAAAATCATGAATCCACCATTATTAGACCATCATTAGAAACTTGGAAACACTGGAAGACCGTTTCATCTTGGTATAGGACTCATCAGCAGTGAGCAACTGTGACCTCCGACTTCGGCAACGATGAAATGCAATGCCAACTTAAAATTTTTAGCTTGATCACCGGTAAAATTGGGGCTTCTAGTCTCTGCATCATGGCTGCTGTGATAAGTTCTGATATTGATGATCCCACTTGATGAATATCTAACAGAAGGACTGCTATACGCGCAACTTCATCATAAAATATTAATTTAAACCATCAACAGAAGAAACCAACGAACGGATCTTCCTAACATGTATAAAACACAAATCGGAAATCGCATTACGATTACTAAAGCCATTTGGAATAGATGTAGCTCACAAACCAAATATTATGTAAACCAAAGGATAAAATGACTTAAAAAGAAAAACCATACTTCGTCTGTGAAATAAACTGTTCTTCTTCACCTTCATATGCGTGAACATCAACTAGCAATCAAACACCATGACATTTCTTCCTTTATATCAATAGATACGGACAGCTATGTACACACATTCGATTCGAAATATGCTGAAATACTGGATAGATGGAGTACAAACAACATTAGAAAATTTTTAGAAGCTTGGCACTCAATCGTAAACCAACAAACACATCAACATTGATCGAGTTAGTGAACCAATCAGAAAAATAATGGAGAAATATGGGGTCATGAGACTGACCAAAGGAGGAGACATTCAAAAATAATAGTGTAGACAACAACAGGTTAAAGGTCAGTAACGACCAATCAGGACTGAGGTCAACAGAACAAGCTACAGGTCATAAGTGGAGACATTAGAATAATACATATCTACCTAAAGTCTGTGCTGATGATGTTGTTCAGAAGAACAATGAAAGCTCTACAACCAAAACGTCCAGCTCAGAGAACGAAACTTCACTGTATTATCCTGCCCAGTTTGTCATTCTCCTTGATTATCTCGTCATAACAAAACTAAATACGAATTTTTCCGGCTATGTATGCACATCTCAATCTTGGTGGAAATTAATTCACAGTTAGCACTGAAAAAAAACAGCAGTTTCAAATGTATCGCATATATGCTTCTTCCTATCTAGATTTATCTAAACCGTAAATCAGAGAATTTTGTCTCCGTTCACCTTGTTCACAATAAACTCTGATGGTTCATGTATGCATCTTAAGACAAATAACGGATTCTTTAGATAATTCACACACATCTACTTATAGCTTTATCTCATTAAATCCATTGTACCTTTATTCATAAAGGTTGCATCGATGATGACGAATTTTCTATAAAACAATTCATAGATATCAGAAAGATTCAGTAAGAAACCTTTAACTCGAATATATGTCCCCTCAGTTTAACGAGATTATGCGGCGATGCTTCTGCAATAATCAACCTTGACAAGCTAATAAACCAGCCGAATAAAAACCGTTATATCCTAACAGGTCTCATTACTTCTGATGAGAAATACTGCTGATTTATGTAAACTCTCTTCACATTGCCTGTGAAGTGTTTTCAAAATGTACAGATTAGATTAAAATCACATTTAATTCGTTCCTATCATATGATTACGCTGATAATTTATTAATACGCTCTGACGAAAGGCTTATAAGTTATCCTAGTGATTGCTTTCGCACCACAAAGTTCAGGCAACCTTTGTCCATCACTAAAACTAGCATGTAGGGTAGTGAACTTCGCGAAGATGCAACCAATATCTGAGTCATTCTTATATCTCCACAATCTACAGTTCATAGATAAAGAACTAATTTGTAACTGTTTATCTAGCCTTCTATAAATTTGGAGATACTCCTCACCATCCTTTTCATTTTCACTATAACAATTCAGATGGGTGAAGATAACCTTACAACCGATTACACTCCTGATATCTATTCAGGTGATATTCAAGGTCAACCTGGTAAATTTAGAATCAAATCTTCGAAATATTCTTAAATAATCCTTCAAAATACAAAGAAACTTAAAATTTACAGTTGCTAATATTTCAAAGAAAAATTCAGAAATATGAACCATAACAACTAAAGACTGCTTGACTTAGGCTAAAATATGAGTTAATACGATACTTTACTGATATCTTTATATACCTTGATTATTGTCCGAATGGATGAACAAGTGATTATTTCCGAACACAAAACTCCGTTTATGTTATAGCCTACTTTTATCAAAAGCCAAAAGATAAGTTACATGAAATTAAATTGTTGATTATCAATTTCACTCGTCTCATATACTCCAGCTAAAATTATTGGGTAAATTTTAATCGTTCCAAGGTTAAAGTATTGACCAATCGAAATTACTTTAGGTCTTAAACCGTATGAATGAGTGTTAGACAGTCAGATCGAACGGTCAATAGAAAACGATCGATATGTTCCAAGGTCATTTATCGGTTATAGACCAGTGCGAGGCTATGAAAACTGCCTGAATTGACAAGTAGTTTTATTTGTCTGAACATGTAGGTGATCGACCAATAGCAAATCCAAAAATTCAAATTTTACTATTTATATGAATTACCATTACAAACTAGACTTCCGAAACATTAAGAATCCCGGTCTTGCCAAGATTTGCAACACCAGGAAATTAAAACAACCTCAAGTGCGTAGTTAATTTATACTAATCTAACGAATTCAACGGTCATTGAAACTATTAAAGCTTAACATTAAATCATTTCAGCTGGGACTGAATTTCATGTTAGTCTCTCTTAAGAGACCAACAGTTCAGCATGGTGACAGCGAAACAGAAGGGTCATATTTAGATTAGTTTATGTGTTAACCGAAACTTTGTTTGGATTACTGTGAACAAACAATAATCCTTCATCATTACATCAGACTCAAAATTTACTGTAAATTTCGAAATGAGTATTTGTTGAACAACCACTGGGAAGAGGCAATAGGTTTCAAGCAGTGACTTATGAGTATGAACCCTCGGATTATTCATCAACATAATGAAATCCATCACTCTATTAGGTGTATTGGTGTGCTATGTAAATCTGAATTCAAGTACGACACGTATATACACTAATAACTTATCCTCGAATATCTCTTAAACCAGATATAGATGTACCAATGATACTTCACCATGACAAAAGACTAGGCGAAGTAGATAGCGTGACTTTCAGTCAGGCATATGAGCAGTTGCTGTATAGTTTCAGCTTATTCGTAATGCAAGAACAAAAGTCTGTGGTTGGATAGATAGTAAGTCAAGGTTAAAAAGCCCGCAAGTGGGACCAATCAGGTTTCATTACTAGTTTAATAAAACAAACATCGTATTAGAACTGGTATTAGAACTTCATTAATATTGGGACTTGAATTCAATACTTAACAAGCCGCTAAGAAATGACGCAGGTGCGTCGACTCTTCGTGTCCTCTCAAATCGAAATCTGAATTCGTCACCTTTACCTTTCTTTTGTTAGATTTATTTTAGCATACATCCTGAATCATATCTTCGAACGCAAATCTTCGCTATTACCGCTAATAATTCTACTACATCTCCCATTGTGATTTGAATTGATGATTGAATCTGCGTGCTAATGTGGTATGACAACTCGGACTGATGTACGTTCGTACGTAACAAGTTCTACATTGTAGTTGCCTGGATGAAGCCGCTAAGATTTTGGTTTCATGAGATGGGTTTCCCCTATATATGTGAAATATACGCAAACTATTCAACCAAGACTGTCTCTGTGTGCTTGCAGGAGAGTTTCGTGACGCGGAGCTTCCCATAGAATATGTTAGATGCCTCAAATCTGAGCTTACTGAGTCCTATTCCAGCAGGTTGAAAATATAATCCCAGTAACAAGAAGTTTAATGAAAGTTGCCTGGTTTCTGCTGTATAAGTTTTATTGAAACAGGATAGCATCAGCCCTCATTACTAGGTAACCTAGTACACTAAACTAGGTTGTCTTAAAACGTGAAAACAATAGCTAGTAGGAATCAGGAATGATAAGTAGTTGTCAGTATCATGGAAGGAGCGAATAACCTAAAACATTTGCATCTGCCTTCTCTGAGCTTACTTAGCAAAACTGTAAATCGCATGCCGTCCAAGTTAAACAGTAATGGTACTTATCCCTAACGTACTTACTATAGACCCCACCATGTAAGGTCAACTCAACAGATTTCTCCAACAGGTATGGTTAATGACAAGGCTTACCAAAGGATTATAGTAAATGCTTGTAGTTATATCTCACACAGGAAAATCAACAGTCAGTTCCTCACAACTCAGTGCGTTATTGGAATTGTCTTCTAAGGAACAACATACCCGCTTATCATAATACCATAAGGAGATTGCTTGGGAATTAAGAACTGGCTACATTTTAAACTTTGTAGTGTTAAGAAATCTTTCTCAAATTTCTTGAATGAGTAGCATGCATCAACCCTAAAAGTAAGTTTTCTAACTGCAAATGACGCAAATTGTTAAAGTAAAAACGCAATAAATGCCCTCTCCACGAACATGCACACCAATCATCTCGGCTTGGAACCCTCCAGTTTCAACTTTACTATTGTTAATATATATTGTAGTGTCCAAGATATAACCTACCAATGGCTGTATGCTTGGCGGTATTATCAATCCGTTCAATTACCAAGATCCCTGAAACCACTCAGCTAGCTACTTAATACATATACCATAGGCTCTTTTTCAGCTGCTTGGCTAACTTCATAACACTATTTAGTTGGGATACAGAATCACATTAGTTGTGCTTGACAAACTAGGTTGCATACAATGAGATAGCTTTGGAACTATCAAATGAAGTTTGATGGCCGAACAAAAGTCATAATCCACGAATGATGCAAAAACTTCACCAATCACAATTCAGTTTCAGTAACTTATAATAAATACTATTGTTTCAGAAATAGTTTTGCTGCACCATAGGAAACCAGTTCTTTTCAGCAAGAATCCCCAGCTACACATAAGAATACCAATACCTTACAGTTGGAAAACAGCAATTAAAATGCAGTGAATATGAATTTGACCGTCAAAAAATGTATGACATTGCGTGCATCGTACTATGAAGTGACGTTCAGGAACGGCAGAGAAAACCACACCCAAATTAAACACAGACACGAGTGTTAACTGTGTGAATAATAACAGTAAGAAACCACCATTAAAACCCCCGAATCGAGAAACAAAAAATCCAATTGTGTACATTGGAGCATTGAACAATGTGGAATGGCATTTTCAAGGCTAATATCTCTAGCGCCAATAAAAAAAAGGGCATACTCTTTCTGAGTTTGATACATATCTATATATAATCTAGATTACAAAATATTAAAATATACAATTGATGAAAAATCAATTTAGGGCTAAAGTCCCTGAATAAAAAGAAAAGAAACTTTACATATATATCTGTATACACATACATACACACACACACACACACACTTCTTGTTGACATGAATAAAAACTGTACAGACCTATTTGTTACTGGATAAATGCAGCAGTGTTTTTTTTTTCAATAAAAAAAAGCAAAACACATCTATCCTCAATGATAAAGAAGTATTTCAAGAAAAGACACCAAATAAGATGCTTAGTTGACAAAACAGTTTTTCTTCTCTTGGTTGCAGTATTTCAACTAACATATGCATTGACAACATTTGACCATGAACTATATCGACGCAATCGATCAACTGATCTAACAATAAAATAATACATATTATTCGCTTGAACATGAGTTAATGTACATGCCATAGGTAAAGGAAGAGCAGCTACTTCACCAACCTAAAGATGTACAGAAAAAAAAAGAACAGTGGACTACATGATACATTTACGTAATTATGGTAATAAATACACAGATATATGTATTTTTTTTAAACAACTGACCACCAGTAATAATAATAATTAAGTACAGTCTGATGCTTTGAACGTAATATCAACGCAATTAAGCGCTCAATATTATTGAACACATTGAATAGTGGAGGGATATTTAAAATAGTCCACTTCCTTTTTCTATTGGCTGGCAATGTATGCTGTCTAGATAGATAATGAAAGCTTAAAAAACATGACATTTCTAAAATTCTCATCCTATTCACCATTATTGTTGTTCCAGAAAGATTTTGGTTGAAATTCAATATACATCTTCCTACATTTATCCATCTAGAACATAGTTTCATCCATTTCATAGTACAGATTACATCATCACACATTATTGTTCAAATATTTCCTGACAAACAACATACTTCCATGACACATATCACATATATCCCCCCTATAACGAAATAGAAATTAACAGAACTTTATATCACATTACAATCACATAAATTTCATGTTGAAAGCTTTTCTCACACTTTCTTACTGTTTTGAATGAATCTGAATTAAGAAATAGATAGTCATTTGTATAACAAATCAAACACAAATATAAAATAAACTTATCAAAATAGTATAAAGGAATAGAAATGATGATGAACAACTATAAAAGAGAAAAAAAATACATAGAGATATGCTGGAATTACTCAAAGATAGATAAACACAGCAGTGTATAATCATGATAATAATAGTTAGTAATTAATATATACAACCAGTCAGAGTAGTAATAATCACATGTGAATATATATATATATATATATATATATATATATATATATATAGAGAGAGAGAGAGAGAGAGAGAGAGAGAGATCCTTTTTCATTTTATCATTATTATTATTATTATTATTATCATTCATACATAACAACAACTACACACCTTTTTCCATGGTAATGATGTTTGAACAGTGACTAGATTAACTTCTGATGAAGCATAACTATAAATTTCATATGAAATAGCTGGTTCAAATGATCCATTTGGATAGGTTATAGACCATTGTAAACAAACTCCTACAAAATAAAAATAGAACAAAATCAATTGAGAATTATGAAAAGGTTAGGAAAAGTGTACTACTACTAGGTAGTGATGGCAGACTAATTGAAGAAGTAGTTGAGGTGGTTGGGACATGCGTTAGGTATGCTGAACCATCGACTACTTCGACGAGCCATGTTGTCAGATGTAGAGGTAGGCTGAAAGAAGGCTAGCGGTGGCCAAAACCAATCAACGAAGTCACTGACCAGTGAACTGAAATTAGTCTGTGAGCTGTCCTCCATACACGACTTTGCAGTACAATCTGTCTTAAGAATTCCCTATGATGTTGGCTTTCTTCTCAGGCACAACGCAGTGTTGAAGAAGACAACACACATCAAAATATTCAATAAACACATTTACATAAATTGATTCGATATTCAACTCTCCATCTAGTTTAACGAACTAATAATAAGGCGTTTACGATGTCCTGTTCTGAATTATCTCACTGAGAAACTTTTTATTTCCAAACATGACCCAATGAAAATCAAAAAACCAATCAGCAGATTTGTTTAGATCCCATAGTTTTGGATAGCAGCCTCTGCAGTAGTAGGTCTCAATATACATAAAGGAAAAAGCAAAATTCTCCGATGCAACACAACATGCACCAACCAAATCACTCTTGATGGAGATGCCTTGGAGGACGTTAACACCTTTACATATCTGGGCAGCATCATCGACAAGAAAGGTGGATCGGATGCAGATGTGAGGACGCGGATTGGCAAAGCGAGGGCTGAATTTCTAGAGTTGAAAAATATCTGGAACTTCAAACAACTTTCAACGAAAACCAAAATCAGGATTTTCAATACAAATGTTAAGACAGTTCTACTGTATGGAGCGGAAACTTGGCGAACTACCAAAGCAATCATCCAGAAGATACAAGTGTTTATGAACATTTGTCCACGCAAAATACTTCGGATTCATTGGCCAGACACGATCAGCAACAATGTACTGTGGGAGAAAACAAACCAGATTCCAGTGAAGGAGGAAATCAGGAAGAAGCGGCGGAAGTGGATAGGACACACACTACGAAAAGCGCCTAACTGCATCACGAGACAAGCCCTCACATGGAACCCTCAAGGCAAAAGGAAAAGAGGAAGGCCAAAGAATACATTACGCCGAGAAATAGAGAAAGATATGAGAATGAACAAAAATTGGAAAGAACTGGAAAGGGGAGCCCAGGACAGAGTTGGTTGGAGAAAACTGGTGGGCGGCCTATGCTCCATTGGGGGTAACAGGCGTAAGTAAGTAAGCATAACTTTGGATCTGAATTCGGCTAATTATCATGAACATAAACATTCAATATCGATCGCGTTTACAGCAAATCACTTTTGACCTTTTAGATACCTAATCATTTTAATCACCGATTCATCATTGAATCGTGATTTTATTTGATCAACATAATTTTAAAAAATGCACTCTAAATTTTCTCAGTTAGGGTTAGGACATGACATGTGTTATGACTGCCACAATGAGCAATGTTTTGTGATGTAGACTACTTGGTTGGGGTCCGCAAGACAATAATGATGGATGGCTATAGACCTAGAATGACATGACTCAAAATCGTTTGCAATGGCGCAAAGGCATACACCATTTGTGTTCTCTCGAATTTTAATCTTCTGAATTCCTCTTCACCGTTTTTTCTGTTTTTAAATTTACCTCTCATTGGATTATACTTCTTGAATGACATCTTCAAACCCTAATCTTACAGATTACTGCTTATATTTTTACTACCTCTACTACTATGTGATTTGAATTGACAATTCAATCTGTTTATGCTAATGTGTTATGGCAACTTGAACTGATGTATGTACGTACACTGTAGCTGACTGACTGACTATAGTAATGAAACATGATGAAGAAAAATCATGCACTTAATTATTATCTTATTCTTTGAAAGTTTGAAACTTATTTGTTTAATTCAAACATAGAAACAAAGAGCCACCTACATATATTTACATGCCATACAAACTTATTATTTTGTGTGTGGGTTGGGATACTGTCCGATTGCCCGAACCAAAGCTAGCGGCATTCTTAAATGACTACTCCCTGAGCCTTTGACCTATGAGTCTAATTCACAAGACAGTGGAGTAATGTCAGATGTATTCTCGTGGTAGTCGATGACCAACATTAGGTTCGTATGCCATTTGTTACATTAGCATCCTGAGCTCATGTGCACCATTACTTTGGAATAAGGGTTTTACAACTCCACAAGGTGGATACTTCGTACCCACTAACCCGGTTCCACCATATATTCGTTCACCATCCTGTTAATTTAGTAAGCAACACTTCTTCTGTGAGAGAAGGCATTGAGCAGGAGATGCCTGACGGTGAATACATACGTGTAGCACATGGCACAAATTCATGAAGTTACTAACAAGTGGACCGAGTCATGTTGTTAGATATAGGCTATCTGGTTGGAGTCCGCGAGATGACAGAAACCGATGGTTAGAGACCTTGAATGACATGGGACAAAATCATTTGCAATGGTGCAAATACATCCACTCTATGTGTTCTCTCAAATTCTAGTCTTCTGAATTCCTCATCTCTCTCTTTCTAGATTTATCTCTATGAATTATACTTCTTGAATAATATCTTCGAACTATAATCCCGATTACTGTTAATACTTCTGTTTGTAGCACTATAGGATTTGAACTGACAATTGCGTCTCTGTGCTAATGTAGTATAGCAATATTAACTTATGTACTTATGTACGGAGATCTGCGTTGTAACTGACTGACTGACTGGCATATGTGTGGCCATACGAAAGCACTTCGAAAGGGAGATAGGACTCTTCCTATTCTCGGTCGTACCAAGAAATTATGAGATCCAGTGTTCCTTCTATACATAAACTCGTTTTCTCTAAACAGATATACTGATTTTTAATCCTTTTCATTATCACTACTACTATAAGTAGATCGATCGACTTCCTATTCGTCTTGTGTCATGTCACCACCACTAGAGTTCACACAACTTACCCACAAATATCAAACTTTTTACTACTTTTAACAATTCATTGTATTTGTAGAGGTATTGAGGTGGTCGGAACAGATGTTACGTATGCCTAACCATCAACAACCTCGTCGAGCTATGTTCTGTGGTGGTATGGGTAGGCTGGAAGAAAGCTGGGGAAAGCCAAACCAAAACATGGCACATTACCATGAAATCATTGACAAGTACACTGAGCCGTACTGGTAGATGTAGACTACCTGGTTGGGGTCCGCGAGACAATCGTAATCGATGATTAGAGATTGAAGATGCTGACAAAATGCAGAGTCTTCTGATCAACCTAAGGAACAATGCAAGCATGTTCGGGATGCGGTTTTCCCTCTCGAAATGCAAAATGTTTCAAGCCTGGGTTGCATCAGCACCTGAACTGGTGATAGGCAGTGAAGTAGTCGAACGTGTAGACCGCTTCACTTATCTTGGGAGTCTCATCAGTGCCGATGGCCTGGTGACTGACGAAATCTCAGCACGGATACAGAATGCTCGATTGGCTTTCGCCAAGTTGCGTCACTTATGGCGAAGGTGAGATATCCGTTTGCTGACTAAAGGACGAGTTTACTGTGCAGTAGTTCGCTCCGTCTTTCTTTATGGCTGTGAAACATGGCCAGTGAGAGTAGAAGATATTCGTAGGTTACTGGTTTTCGATCATAGGTGTCTTCGAAGCATTGCTCGTATATCGTGGGACACCCGAGTGAGCAACGCTGTTATTAGGAATCGGGTGCTAGGTAAGAATGGCAGATCAATAGACGCAGTAGTGACACTTCGTCAGTTTAGGAGGTTGGGACATGTGTTGCGTATGCCTAACCACCGACTGCCTCGTCGAGCTTTGTTTTGTAGTGTAGGAGTAGACTGGAAGAAAGCTAGGGGCGGCCAAACCAAAACATGGCAGCAATCCATGAAGTCATTGACGAGTGGACTTAGCCATGTCGGTAATTGTCGACTAGCTGGTTGGGGTCCGCGAGATGATAATAATCGATGGTTAGATACCCTGAATGACATGGCTCAAAATCGTTTGCAATGGCGCCGGTGCATTTATTCTTTGTGTTCTCTCAAATCCTAATCTTCTGGATTCTTCAACACCTCTACTTTTGACTTTCTAAACTTTTCTCATTGAATCATACTTCTTGAATAATATCTTCTAATCCTAACCTCTCCGACTACTTTTACTACCTCTTCTACTATTGGATTTGAATTGACAATTACATCTCTGTGCTGATGTGGTATGGCAACATGAACTGATGTACTTACGTACGAAGTTCTACGTTGCATCTGACTGACTGACTGATGATTAGAGACTATGAATGACGACTCAAAATCGTTTGCAATGGCACAAAGGCATACACCCCTTGTTTTCTCTTAAATTCTAATCTTCTGAATTCTTCATCAACTTTATCTTTCTCTTTTTAAGTTTATTTCACTAGATTCTACTTCTTGAATAATATCTTCATAACCTAATCTCTTCGATTACTGCTAATACTTCTAGTACCTCTACTACTATACCATTTGAATTGACAATTTGATCTGTTTGTGGTAATGTGGTATGGCAACTTGAACAGATGTATGCGCACATACCAAGTTCCAAGTTGTTGTTGTTGACTGATTGATTGATTGATTTGTAGAGTGTATTAAGAGTATTCCTTTATCTTGTCTCACCAGTTATATATATATATATATATATATATATATATATATATATATATATATAAGGAATTACAATAGTTTTAAAAAGAAAACTAACCTTCCACTGCTTCTGCAATAGTTAGCTGAGGAACAGGTTGTAATGGAAGATGATTTCTATTAGTGATCGATTGTGTTGGAGGAACTGGTGGTAATAAAGCAACAGGGAGTAGATGAACATCTGACATCATAGAATATGAATTATTGAATGGATTAGGTTGAATATTATTTTGTATTTGAGATAATGATGCCATATCAAAATATGATTGTTTTGTATTGAAATTATCTACAATAGTACCGGTACCACCAGCACCACCACCGTTTGTATCAATTGTGAATGATGATGGAATATTGATTGTGGAAATAATTCCATTTGGTAAATCTAAATATATAATTAATATATTGTGATGAGTAGATAGATTTTAAAGAATATTTGAACAAAATGATTAAATAGTGAAGATCTAGGGGGGGGAAGATCAACTAAGGAGAGTAGTATATACTTAATAACAGTTCACCCTTGCATATCAAGCAATTCAGAGAAACATGAACTGTGAAAATAATAGAGTCAGTCAGATGCAACGCAAAACTTCATACGTAAGTACATCAGTTCATGTTGCCATACCACTTTAGTACACAGAGATGTAATTGACAATTCAAATCCAATAGTAGTAGAGGTAGTAAAGGTATTAGAAGTAATCGGAGAGGTTAGGATTAGAAGATATTATTCAAGAAGTATGATTCAGTGAGATAAGCTTGGAAAGATAAAACTAGAGGTGTTGAATAATCCAGAAGATTAGGATTTGAGAGAACACAGAGAATAAATGCACCGGCGCCATTGCAAACGGTTTTGAGCCATGTCATTCAGGGTCTCTAACCATCGGTTATTATTGACACAATGTCCGTACATTAAAAGCTCCCGATATGTAGTCTACAACGGGGTTTCAAGAGACCAGTAATGACGTTTCGTGAACTCGCATCGTTTGCACTAGCGGTGCACTGAGATAAGGGGATGTGAGTAGAGTTCGTTGTGGAGCTTGTTTCTTGAGGAACCTGAAAAAGAAGATAGATTAGTGTTGGTCTTAGAGACCTGGGAGCGTGACCGCAGAGTCCAAGGGACAAATGCTTGAGGCCGGCCACGCACGGCCTTTTGATGAAAGGTTTTTCGAGGATTAGCTCCGCTCTTTAAGGCCCTTAGTGGGCACCCTTACCGCCGAAGACGGAAATCCGTGAGGTAGGGTGAGGTGTGACATTTCTTTGGGTCGACCTTTTCTAACCCTTCCTTCCTTGTGAGAAGGCAGCATCACTGCAGATGCTGGTTGTCCGAGGGGAACACCTTAATGCTGTCTGACCCCTCTGCAGTCAGCAGTACGACTTCGCCCTCAGACCTTGTGTAGCTAATTTTAGTCTGATCGTTCTCCAATCGACCTGCCTGGCATGGTAGGACCTGCAGGAACATATGGTCCAGCCAATATAGCTAGGTTGGGTCATGACGATAAACAAGCGCGATCACCATGTCAAGGTAGCAGCTACGTTTCAATAATTTTCTCATAGGTTTTTTCAAAGCACTCCTTACATAAGGTGAATAAGCAACAAGTGAATAACGCTAAGAATAGATACATAATACTCGATGAAGAGAAAGTAAGACAACTAACAGACTATAAAGCTTTATAAGCTGAAGTAGTTAAAGTATGTGTAACACTCGTGTACCTGACCACCGTCTAATCCGATGTACATAACTGATTCAAGGGTAGGTAAGAAAACAGATAGAAATGATCGAACTAAAAAAAAATTTAAACGGTTCATGAAATTGCTGAATGCTGGTTTGAATTGTGCTGGTAGGTGCATACTCCCTGGTTGAGACTAATGCTATACTCGTAACCTATGGTTACAGAGTTGCATTGATTTTCTATCTTCCCTCATAACTTGAGTGTTAGTATAATAAGTAATAATAATAATAACAACGTTCAACAGTAAAAGCTATACACTTGTTAGCTTGGCTTTAAGCTATATCTGATAATAGGTCAAGTTACTAAGTTGTGTCATATCCAAAACCGCTGATAAGAAACCTTGATGGATCGACAGATACTAGTTCGTTTGCTTCACACTACAACATTATGTCATCAATCAATGTACAGAATGGATATCACTGAAATGATAGTTGTCTAATCCACTGCAGTAGGTATGTTAAGATGGTGACACTAATAGGATTACTCTGGCAGTATCTAGACACGTATAGCAGCCACTGGAGCAGGAGATCTCAGTATACACAAAGGGAAAAACAAGATCCTTCGATAAAACACAACATCCATCAACCAAATCACACTTGACGGAGAAGCCTCAAAAGATGTAAAAAGATTTACATATCTGGACAGCACTATTGATGAGCAAGATGGATCTGATGCAGGTGTGAAGGCACGGATTGGTAAAGTGAGGGTAGCATCTAGAACTCGAAACAAGTATCAATAAACACCAAAATCACGATTTTCAATACAAATGTCATACAGTTCTACTGTATGAAGTGGAAAGCTTGAAAACCACCAAAGCCATTATCCGCGAGATACAAGTGTTTATTAACCATTGTCTACGCAAGCTAATGAGGATCCGTTGGTCAGACACCATCAGCAACAACCTACTGTAGGAGAGAACAAACCAGATCCCAGCTGAGGAAGAAATCAGGAAAATGAGCTTTAGGTGGATGGAACACAGTTTGATGAAAACACCCAACTGAGTTACAAGCCAAGCTTTCAATTGGAATCCTGAAGGCCAAAGGAAATGTGGTAGGAATATCAACAACCTTGCAGAGACGAGGATGATGATCGAACACAGAGTTGACGAACATTCTCAATCCGAAGAAGCAATGTTTTGTAAGAACGGAGCAGAACTGCTTTGAGCGATTAGTTGTAGACTCCACATTTTACAGACAGATTAATACCATGACAACACTAAAGATGGCCTAGATTCTCGGAATCCACCCTGGCTTTCATGACAAATTGATGGAACTCATTAGTCACTTCACCACCAGCACTCATGCAACTATCTTCATACATGCAAACTACTTCACTACTTCAAAATTTTCTTTGATTCAATGATAAAATTAAAAAGAATATTGACATAAGAAGTAGAAATACAAATATTATCCATTGGAAAATTGTTAGGATTCACATTTTTTTTATGACTAAAGATAAAACTAGGGATTAAAAATAATGAGAAAACAATATATATATATATATATAACCATGTTTACATATGATGCTTACTTGAAAGAGGTGTAGCATTATGTTTATTTAGTTTTTTATTATTTGTCGAACCAGAAACCAAATGTTCCTCCCAAGCATTCTCTACATTAGTAGTATCTGATGTTAAATCAATAGTATCATTGACTTGAATAGCTAAAACTGTACCTGGTGCAGTAGTAGTTTGAGGTGGGACACATTGAATTTCAAATGCTTTCGGTAGAACAGATAATAATCTAGATGAAGTGGAATTGGATGCGTTTACATTAGGCAGTCGATTCAATGAATTCACTGTTTGTATAGATCGATCTGGTGCCGATACCGAAGGAGGATAAGATGGTAAGGGTAAACGAGGAGCTTGAGAAGAAAGAGTCCTTGATTGACCAATACCATTTGTTGGAGCAGGCAAAGGAATCTGTGTTAGAGAAGTAACAAAACAACGCAAATAGTGATGAGCCAGTTAATTTACCTCATAGTATTTTATTGTACGTCATAGGATGTTTTTCCAACAACAACAACAACAACAACAACACTAATTAAGAATGTGTTACTTACTTGTTCATTAATTAACTTTATCAAGTCTTTTGATGAAGATTCAATAAAATCCATACGTCCTGTTAATTGATTGATTTCTTCTTTTAAATTAGTTACTGTTTTCTCAGTTGTTTCAATGGAAGTTATATATTGAGATAATTTCTCTTTTAGAGCAAGTTTTAATTTTGAATTAAAACATAATCGAACTTTTTTAATTTCATCTTGTAATTCTGGTAAGCTTTTCAAATTGTATACATTGTGAACATCTTTGAAACCATTATTCAATGTACACAAAGTATCAGATTGTTCAAATAATCTAGGCTTTTTTAATGATGGTGGACCTTGTTGAGTAATGGAATCACAATCATGATGATTTTCAATAGTTTCATCATCATTCAATAAACTAATGGAATTAGAATTAGGAATAGATGTATTCTGTGCAGCATGAAAAGAATCAGTTACATCTAGATTACAGGACAGCTCTGACATGACAAACAATACAACGCTTAAGCATAAGTAGTAAATGAGATCTAAAATAAAATGAGAAGATAAAAAACAAACAAATGAGTTATGATTTAAGGAGAAAAAATAGAGATATCAGAACGCAGGTTATTTGATAATCATTGCTAGTTTCTAGTTTTGTAGATTAAACAATACATCAGTCCTTTAATTTCCTATGTATACCTACAAGACAATTCTAAGCACAGTAGAACCTAGTGCATATGTGCATCGATTCAGGTTGTCACAACGTATTAACAAAGCAATACAAATTTCAGAGTGGTAGAATTAGAAAACTGTATCTCACTTGTTCACACAATCTCATATTAGGAGATATTTGGAGTTAAGACACACATTTAGGCGTCCTACAATAGTTGTTTTCCTGGACCTTCATGCGGTATTGACTCAGTGAATCGTGAGGTTCTGTGGAACTGTCTGTCGTTGAAAGGTGTACCAAAGAAGTACATTAACCTCATACAAGCTCTCTACTCGAACACCACTGGTCTAGTGAGAGCTTATGGCGAACTGTCACCGGAATTCTTCACTTCAAGTGGTGTCCGTCAGGGATGTCCACTTTCTCCATTCTTGTTTAATTTTATCATAGACATGCTCCTAGAAATAACCATATTGTCGTCTGAATTTTCAGGAGTAGACCTTTTACCAGGTGGCTCGCTTATTGACTTAGAATATGCCGATGACATAGTTCTATTCGGTGAAGACGCTGACAAAATGCAGTCTTCTGACCACCCTAAGCAACAATGCAAGCATGTTCGGGATGCGGTTTTCCCCATCGAAATGCAAAATGTTGCTTCAAGATTGGGTTGCATCGGCACCTGAACTGGTGATAGGGAGTGAAGTAGTCGAATGTGTATACCGCTTCACTTATCTGGGGAGTCTGATCAGAGTTGATGGCCTGTTGACAGACGAAATCTCAGCTCAGATACAGAAGGCTCGATTGGCTTTTGCCAACATGCGTCACTTATGGAGCAGGCGAGATATCCACTTGTTGACGAAAGGACGAATGTACTGTGCAGCAGTTCGCTCTGTCCTACTATATAGATGCGAAACATGGCCGTTAAGGGTAAAGGATCATAGTAAAGATCATAGGTGTATCCGAAGCATTGCTCCTGTATCCTGAGACGACCGAGTAAGCAATGCTATTATTAGGAAACGAGTTCTAGGTAAGGATGGCAGATCAATAGATGAAGCATTGAAACTTCATCAGTTGAGGTGGTTGGGACATGTGTTACGTATGCCTAACCACCAACTTCCGCGACGAGCTATGTTTTGTGGTGTAGCAGTAGGTTGGAAGAAAGTTAGGGGTGGCCAGACCAAAACATGGCACAAATCAATGAAGTCACTGACGAGTGGACTGAGTCATGTTGGTGTATGTAAGCTACCTGGTTGGGGTCCGTGAGACGAAAGTCACCAATGGTTAGAGACCTTGAATGACATGGCTCAGAGTCGTTTTCAATGGCGCAGGTGCATCCACTCTTTGTGTGCTTTTTAATTCTAACCTTCTGAATTCCTCATAATCTCTATCTTTCTGCTTCTAAATTTATCTCACTGAATTATACTTTTCGAATAATATCTTCGCTCCCTAATCTTCTCCATTGCTGCTAATAATTCTACTATCACTATCACTCTTGGATTTGAACTGACAGTCACGTCTATGTGCTGGTGTGGTATGGTAACCTGAACTGATGTAATTATGTACGAAGTTCTGCGTTGTAACTGTCTGTCGTTTGGAGTTAACAATCTGGTAAAAGAAAATTTCTGAAACATTTAGTCGAGCTATGATTGATATGAAGCTGATTAGTAAACGGAACTTCCCCCGATAATTAATTTGTAAACTAGAGGTTTACCGGATTAACCTGGGTTGCGCTTTTTGGTAGTGAGGCTAGTGATAGTTACTAATCGGTTGCCAGAACCGAAGTACAGCATAGTTCGAAAGTGAAACCAAATGGTTTATTCGAGTGCTTTAACTGCTACATCTTCACACCAGGAAACAGAGAAGATATTATACATGATATTGCATCCAGCCAACTCATCCTACGATTTCAAGGCAAAAGTCAATACTTGGGAACATTTTTAAGCGGTAGGCAAAAAGGTGATAGTAGGATTTTTTAACATTCTTTACGGGGAAAACTTAAAAATTTTAGGCACGTATTTTATCGTCAGAAAATTCGTGCTTATGTATTAGCTTTCCGTGTGTTTTATTTTTCCGCGAAAGTAATTGTCTCAGACGCTATCAAGTGACAACAGACACTAGCATGTATTTTCATTTTATCGAGCAGGTAATAGGGTAGCTGATTATTGACAAAAGCCTAAAAACCAAGGTTAGAGATTTGAAAACGGTCTCAATTAACTAGATTAAGCTTGATGGGAAGTAGCATTACTGTCTGCGCAGTGACCCACAGCCGAGTGGACAAATCACCCCTTTATGCCAGTTCGTTACACTAAATGTATATGATAGCATCTTACAAGAATAGATGATAGTAACTTTTTGATAAATACCTTTATCCAACGTATCCGTATGGATACAGGTATTTACTTACTATAAGATGGCAAGTCAGATTGGTCTATTAGCTCAACAACTAAATGAACTAGAAGTCAAACATCACAATCACAAAACTAAACATTTCCATACACTGGTGGATCTCATTTGAGATAGTCTGTTTGTGGTAAACAGCTTTTTAGGTATAACAAACTAATTTGGTGTCAAAATAGTAAGGGAAGAGTAACGACTAATACTTCTACTACGTCAACCGCTATTGGATTTAATTTAACAATTGCATCTCTGTGCTAATGTGATATGGCAACTCAGAGAGATATACATACGTACGAAGTTCTGTGTTGTTGTTGACTGACTGGATATAGGGATCGCTCAAATAATCCATCATTACTAAATCAGTCTATAAAATGGTAGGAAGTAACTACATGTCGATGCAATGACTCGTGTTCCACCCTGAGTATCCAGCTTTGATAATGAAATATCAAGAATACATAACACAATCTGTGCTGATGAACCAAGAAATACTAAGCATTTGTTATAAAAACAACTAAATCGTCTTAAGTGGACGGATTAAAATATCGTCTCGTACAAAAGATCAGTTTAGGCTGTTATGCTATCATCATAATGACTACACTTTACAGAACATTGGGAAAACTTAAAAACAGACATGGCTTTTACTTAATAAAATGATATTTGCTCTTAATAGTTCAGAATTAAGACACCTATTGATAGTTGAAGGTCGATATCAAATATTATCTTCGCTTTCAAGCAACATTCAAGGCGCAAATTCTAACCAGTAACAAATAACACAATATGTAGGATGAACACACTAACGCAGAGCTAAGAATACGTTTACGTAACTTGTTTTTAGAATAATTTCTTTCAAGTTTGTAATCCCCAGTTTAGAACAGAATGACAAACGTAAGTAATACAATCGTATGCATTTGCTTGTTCATGAATCATTATTTCAAGACATCCAGTGAAAGATTAAGGCAGTGAATCTTGGATGGGACAAGCAGTCAGAACTTGGATATTTTCTCCTTTCAATTATTTTGTGATCCAAAATTTGTTAACGATCTTGATATCTGCAGATTTAGCATGTGAGAGGTTAATGCAATAGCAACGAGCAGCATCCAGAAGAAACATTGGCCTTAAAATGTATCACATCCTTATAAATGCAGCCTGTCACAATAACAATGTTAGACGAGTTGCTCCTTATGTACATTCGGCTAGCTACTAAGGACCACCACCATAATCGTATTTGGAGCCAAATATTATACTCAATAGATAGCGCTAGAATTTTGCTGCTAAAGTGAACTACCAGAGTGCGTAATGTTGTACAACTGAGTTAATGGTATGGTTGATCAGCTAAACTAATTGTTTTGTACACGAAGACAATAAATGTGATTGGTTTAAAGGTCAAAATCCATACGTCAGTAGACCACGTGTAATATGAGGAAGCAATCTGAGGTACTTTATCTAATCTGTGTAATACGCGCTAGATTTACTGAAACATTGTCCTACTAAGTTGATAAAGTATATTGGATATCTCCTTAAAGAGTGTACTGTTTTGTAGGAAACCAGATGAGCCAACCATCCCATGAAGATGCTCACCTTGAAGTACGACCCTGAGACGGCTAATATGTATCGGAATCAATACATTTAGTTTCAGGGACAAGCCATGTTGTCCCTTTGTTCGAACAATCCGCGCAATCATACGTTAACGGACACTCTAACCACAATATAGTAGAAAGTAGCGGATTTACCAAATGATGTGACAAAAAAGGAAGGATTTCGAGCGCCAAATATCCGACATATGAGACTACCAAGTGAAAACCGACTGACTAAACTTTTAAAGACGGGTACACCAACAAGTTTATCGTCCATAATACAGATATTTAAATATTTTCTACTGAGGAAATATTCAATCAGATATAAACTCAGTGTGATCGAACTACGTACAATTGTGAGGAATACATTATAACATACTATGACATACCGGCAAAACAATAGAACCATAAGCCTGTTTTGTGCAGCAATGAACAGGTGGGTGACTAGTATGAACCAATAGAGAACAACTGAACCATAATAAGACCAACCGCACTACTTGGCTCGCCTCGTAAGTAGCGCTTTGAAATAGTGCGAGTCTCGAATGGTCAGCGAAGAGTTAGTAGAGCAGAAACACAATAAATCACTTTGAAAGTTCGGTTTGTTTAAATGAACAGTATGATATTTGCAACTAAAGAGACCAGAATGTCATGTTGTGTAGTGCAATAACCAAATACATAAAACTATTGAAGATTCTGAGCAAAATAAGTTAATAATACTCAAACTTCCTACTAAATGTATTTAACACTGTCAAGGTCGCACTGGTAAATCCCGTAACCTTGACGCCATGTCGTGGTTACTTACACACACTGTTGTCTACCTGTAATACAGTATTGTTAAAACTGTCCTTCAATTTGGAGTTTTGGTAAAATGACCTATTATAACGGCTGGAAACTTACGATGTCGAACAGAGCACCAATAATTACATGAGGCGGCATCACAAAGTCAAACAAATTTTGTCCGATTGTTGGTCAATTTTAACGAGGGATCTTGACTGGAATTAATTTGTTGCCCATCATGAAACTGTGTAGCTTCATGTTCATTTTTATAAATTTACATGTTAACTTTAAAGCGCGAGATTGGCTGCGAAACCGAAACCAGATATTAGTTTGTCCCTGAATAAGTGGTTCCAAGACCGTTTCATTTTGCAGTTATAACCATCTCTGTTTGCTGTACGTTGTCAGGTTCTTACATGATAGCAAACAGAGGACTTCTGTGCCTTATCCTTGGACCCTAGCTCACCATTGATTGAGTACATAAATCCACTTTTGACACTCATTTTATGTATATAGTTGTTCTTGCGATTTGAAAGGAGATCTAAAGCCTTGCAAGCATCTCTGCGTTTCATAAAGGTTCAGCGAATAAACTAGTAGGCTACCATTGACACTTTCCCTCTTGCCACCGGAAAATTTAGAATGATTGTGTAAATTAAATATGATGTACTGGACTCGTATCATATGGATTATTTCAGAATTACTATTACATGGAGACCCTAAATATCGATCAAAGTAGCAAGAATTTCTATCATTCCCCCAGCTTCAAGAACGAAGACCCATTTCAGAAAGGAGCAACCAAAACATCATTTGGACTTAAGTATAGACCGTCCTAACTTCACCTATGGGCGTTAACTTAGCAGACTTTTCCGTATAAAAGTAGGAAAGGGTTCATAATCGTGATGTTATTAATAATCTTCAACGTCATATTAGGACTTCATTACAATCGGGTCGCGAAGTCAGCCTGATAGAGTATCATATGAAGAGAGAAAATGACAGTGTACCCACGGAAACAGGCGCGATCAGGATCAGCAAACAATATATTTAACGGCAGGGAGAGTAAGTAATGACCCATTTCGTTGACGTTTTAAAGAAAACCTGAGATTTATTTGGGTCATAGTTGGATTGAATCAGGGTGAGTCAGTGGATGTTCCATTCTTAATGTTTCCTAGAGGATGGGAACCGGAATTATACCTCTCAGTAACTGAAAACGACCTTCTGAGACAAGAATATACTCCAATAATCAAGGGGTTTTTCAAATTAAAAAATCATGACAATTTTAAATAACTTCTACTCTCAACCGGTCGACTCCGTCCTCTCCTAGTGAAAACATTTACTTAGATTCAACATTCGAGCCCATGTTAAGCTCTTCAGAAGCTGTATCGAGTGGATGGTGTATTCGTTAACATTAGGCAAACCCACATCCTGTACCATAAAGAAGGTTAGATGAAGATATTGGTTGGCTGTAGTCAGGTGAAAACGGGCTTAAGTGGGGGAATGAAATTTGTGGTCAGACAAGTATCGACCAACGATGATGATGTGTCAAAATGCTCCCCAAGATATGAAACAGTCACTTTCTTAGTGGGTCTGACTGGGATACAGCCGTCATGATCTTGCACTGCACTTGAGATTCCTGATGAGATGAATGGGATAGTACCTCTCGTTCCAGTGCGTTTGCGATGGAAAGAAACAGCTCCCAACTCCGCCTACTGAATCGTCCGCTCGTGAGTTATAAAACGTCACTGTAAATTCTGTCTCGCAGAAGTTCCTAGCCGAAGAACAGGTTAATAGAACATCGAATTAGAGTTCATAGCTTATTGTAACTGTTGATGGGAAGTAAAATTTATCAGTCCAATCCTATAACGTGTTTGGAATGGTGTCAGCAGTAATGTTCAGTATAGAAATAAGGAAACTGCAGAACTTCACAGGATTCATGAACCGATCGAATTGCAACCGCCATCGCGAAAACACGAAGCACTGGATGGGCGTTTCGCCCTCATCAGTGTACATGCAAAATACGTAGAAGGAATTGAACTCAGAACATTCTGTCTCCGATGTCTTATCGATTTAAAAGACCACTGAGTGAGCACCTGGCAGTGTTCATGTCTGACTTTAGTCAAGCCACGATGTTACGCAATCGTCTGTCGTCGTCTTCGGTGAATAATTACTTCAAACACGACATGGCTGAACTTCGGAAATCGCAGGAAATCCTGCCGCTACTCTGTCCTCAAATGATCTGTTACAAACGTTGCGATTAGCTCCCTCGCCGTCGGTGGAGGAAGTCGTCTTGTATCACTATTGAGATGACAAAGGTCCATTATTTTATTGAGATTGACTGAGAAGCTTGCACTCTTTAAGCTAACTAGTATACAATCTACAGGCGGAAAACGGAAAACCGATCACCACATACGGCTAATGGTACCTTTAAATTAACTCCGGTTAACACAAACCCATTCACTAAATTTCGTTGTGGAATACGTATAAATGTCAGTCGGTGGTATAAGCTCGTTACAACACCATAAACTACTAGTTGGCCCAAACAAACGAATGTTGATGGATTAAACTACCTGTTCATGGAGTTTCATTTTCCAGTTGTGAGTCATGCTCACTCACGTCTTTGCACAAATGACTCTTTCTTTCAACCAGTGCACGACAGGTACTTGAAACTGTGTCAGACAAGTCTGCAATCACCTTACACAACCAGCAGTGTTACACATCATATCACGACTATGGGACCACTTGTATTCCCAAAAGATCAACGACTAGCTCCGGAAAAGCTAAGACTCGCAAAAAGCGAATTCAACTACACGGTGGATTTGGGGATTATCCGCCCGTCAAACAGACCATGGGCATCCCCTTGAGAAGACGGCAGTGAGACTAGCTTTAACTGGTGATAATCACTAATTTAAACTATACTCTGTTGTTACGCATTACCTCGAATTACCAACATGGGGGCCATCTTCAACAATACTACTGTCTTTTCGGAAATCGTTATGTTCAAGGCGAAAGACCTATAGTCATATTATGTATGGCATGGCACTTTCAGTGCTCCTAACTGTTTTGCTGTCCTACTATGAACAAGTACGTTAGAAAGTGGTCATTTACTTTCATTTATGAAATATAGGACGCCAACCAGCATTCTTCAACCTACTCTTTCCTGGGCCTTCTTTTCCAGTTCTGCCCGAATGAGGATCATTCGTTTCATATCTGCTTCAAATCCCCAGTCTACCCCTTTTCCTCTGGCCTCAAGGGATGTCTTGTGTCTCCGTGTGGTACTTTCCTCTAATGCGTATCCTATCCACCTCCAGCGCTTCTTCCTGATTTTTTCATCCGTCTGGATCTGGTTTTGTCTCTCCCACAGAATGATGTTGCTGATTCCGTCCGACCAACGGATCCTCAGTATCTTGCATAGACAACCGTTAATAAACACTTTTATCTTCTGGATGATAGCTTTCGTATTCCGCCAAGTTTCTGCCGCATGCAGTAGAGCTGTCCTGAAGTCTGAACTGAAAATTCCGACTTTGATGTTGTTTGACACTTGTTTTTAATTCCAGATGTTCTTCATTTGTATAAATGCTACCTTTGCTTTCTCGATCCGTGTCTTTACATCCGTATTATATTCACCTAGTTTATCAGTGATGCTGTCAGATATGTAAAGCTTTTAGAGGTTCCAGTGCTTCTCAGTAATGTGTGATTTGGTTAATGCATGTTGCGCTTATCGGGGGATGTTGCTTTGTTTCCTTGTGTATGTGGACACATGCAGCTTCACAGGTTGCCGCTACATAGATCATCTTCTAAATATATTGTTAAATGCAGGTTGGAAGATCTAGATCGTCTGTGCAGTTCTCATTGTCCAGTTGCATACGAGCTGTTCACAATATCCCTTGAGTTTTTTGATGATCCAGTTGTCCACCGGAAGAACGATAAAGGGTGAGAGTGAGCAACGTTGTCAGTCACCGGTCTGCACTCTGAATGAGTCTGCGAGCTCTCCCCCATGCATGATTTTACAGTATAGTCCATCGTAAGAATCCCGAATGATGCTAACAGGTGTCGAATGTGTTCTCGTCGCCAATGAATTTATGTATAGTGGTGAGTTCAGTTAAGTTGATTGTTCTAGAATTATCCGCATCGTCACGATTTGATCGGAAGTCAATCGATCTGTATGGTGTCCAGCTCGCTGATATGGAAGTTGGGCGTCAACTGGATCTTTTATTCGGTTTAACAACAGACTGTTCAGAACTTTGGCTGGTATTGAGAGACGAGTGATGTTTCTGTATTTTTCACACTTTCTGAAACCTCCTTTCCTTGGTATCCCGGCGAGATGCTCTACTTTCCGGTCCGTTGGCACTTGTCCTTCCTTCCTTCTGAGTGTTGCTGAATAGAGTGGAACACCTTTGTAGATCTTCCAACCCCAAGCAGAGAGTTTAGATGGCTTGAATTATTTGTTCTGGTCAGCGTTATTTTAGCGAGTTGATTTGAAACTGGCAGTCACCTTGGAGGGTTTGTAGATGGGGTCACAGCGTTAGCACTCTCTTGCTTATTTTTCCAGAAGTCCACACTTTTAGACATAATTGATATCTTCTAGCTACTTATTCAGTCACGTTAATATTCATTTAATAGGACCCTAACACATGAATTTCTGTACCCCTTCGTATGCAGGACTCGTTTCACACAATGGCTAGGTGCAGCACATTATTGTGAAAACAGTGACTCGCACCCCAAAACAAGGATGAGCTGGAAGCGTCCGGTGTCCCTCGAATATTACCATAGACCGTAGATTCCACTTCATATCTTCCTTGTTTTACTCGTGAGGGCCACATAACATGGTGCATGTTTTTGGATATCTAAAATTATTACACCGAGCCCACTAAACCATTCAAAGTTCTTTTTCAAAAACCAAACTACTAAACAAATGCTTATAATGAAAGCGAAGATAACACTAGAACCGATCATCGAATAGCCGATCACTTGGAAGGAGATACACTTCATCGACTCTTTAGTCGAACAATCAGACGATTCGATCCCCGCGAGTACAATACATTCTAAGATTTCTATCAACCTTGACAAAACCTCTTAGTTTCCGACAATTGGCTTTGTACGACCTGGTTTGAAAGAATCGTGAGTTTCCAAAAGCATTTGAAAGAACACCACAAGTAGGACGTTTTATAAATTTATTATTATTTGTCTCGTTTTCCGTTTGCACACTGAACTGTATCTTTAAATTTTACTGAGGCATGAAAAAGGTCAATTATTGGGCTTTTTAACGTACATATATATGGTTTTATGAGCAAACGAAGCAAAAGGTAATGTTTTTAATATTTTTCCTTAATTTCGTACATTTTTTTATGAAAATAATTCCAGGAAACCAAATTTTCGCCCGTTATATAGAACATATAAGCACATTCAGGTTTTTTCACAGATTTCGCTTACCTACAACAGGACAAATGTCTTTCGTGAACAACTGGAAAAGACTTGAATGTTGTATCAAAATTTCTCTATACTTTCTTGCCAGTATATTGCCCACTGTTCCTCACCATAGGAAAATGCGACCATACAACGATGGATATTACAAGCCGTCAGAAGGGTGTTTGTCAACGTCGTCATTATCAACATCAAGCTTCCACATCAGATCAGTACAATGCATAGCACACGCCCATCGGCTTGTTAGCTTAGACATTGTGCATCACCACACATGTGGACATCGACTAAATACATCTTAATTGATCGAAAGAGACTTCCAGCTTTACTAATTTTAGAGCCGTCTATCAATGCGACAGTAAAACGTCAGTAGTATCAAATACTGTTCATTCAAAGATCGAAGTTATATTTGCATTATTGACTAGTGAAACAAATCTAGTCTAAAGAGAGTCAAAACCCCAATAGTTCACGTTCGGATTACCTGCAACCAGAAGTCAGTTACTCGTCCTCCTCAACAGTTAAAATCAAAAAGCAATATTGTGGCAGGATATAGAAATTCTCAGAATGATTCAAAAATTGTATTATGTAGAGTACCTAGATGAGTGTCGTAATTAGGCTAATAAGCCACAGAATTTCTAAATTCAAATTCAAAGTACATCAAATGAAAAATTTCCACAGAACATAGTGGTAATTACTTGTTATTGAACAAACCTGTCCTTACAAAGCACGGGACCTAATTCTATCGATCAGCAGTCAAATAATTAGAGCGCCTAAACACTAACAGATAGAAATCAGGCTTCGAAATATCAGCAAATAAAACATGTTTGGAAAATTAATGAATGGACCCCCAAATGAAAAATACGTCATATAATCAACTCACGTAAAGTTAAGGTAATGTTATCGTTAATTCAGATAAAATCAGCTAAGCAACTCAAGAAATAAACATAGCGTTAGGGAAACCGGGTAAAATTGGTGATGACAGTCACAGATGACCTCGAAAATAAACGTAATACTAAAGCGAAGGTGATAAGGGTACTGAATTAAAAATTAAATGTCAGAAAAATGCTCGTTTTTGCGTAATGCATCCACATCGATAAATTTTCAAAAATAAGCTGATGTACCAAGATGATAACTTAAGGATAAGACCTTAAATTTGCCTGTTTGTTCGACCTAATAAGGTACCTAAATTGGACGATAAATCATGGAGAAATACGTCTGATGATATCATGGATATTCAGAGTTGAACAACGCGTTTTATCTTAACACTTTTCAGATTTATAATACTCAGACGAGTCAAATCAGAAGTCAGGAAAGAGGAGGAAAGACAGTAAATTTGAACGATGGCTTGGACGTCGAGGAATGAATGAACTAAGTTTGTTAGCTGGTACAAGGTGTTACGGTGCATGATTCACCACACAGGCTTTATGAGCGAGAGACTTCAGCCCGAGTGTTTCCATTGAAACTAATGAGGCTAGCGTCAATGTCGAAGGCTTACAGAGGGATATATATATTGGGGATTTATCTAAAGCTTCAAATGTCAAATATTCGTAAAATACTGTGTCAGACTCAGTAATCCACTGAATAGTACTTATAAACATTAAACCATATGCGTTTGATGAGAAATCGGCTTGATATGAGTTTCGTACGGTTGAAACTCTCCAAACTTGTACTGAGAGGAATATATGCCTTGTGCGTGCTTCATCTGAATGGCTTGGAACTGAAGAGTTCAACCCTAGAAAATTTTTAAAAGCATCAAACTTTTAGATGTGCAAACGGTTATTAAAGTATGTGTCGTATCCATCGTATTATGAAAGTCACAATAATTTCTTCTAACACACAAAGGAACATCTTCAAATCGATCCCTTGAAATATAAAATATCATAAAATAAGTTGAACAGGATCAAATTGAATGCTTATTAGTTGTATAAGCATTGGAAAAATGTCACTTAATGCTGGTTTACAGACGCATAAAAACTATTTGTTTAAATCACTTAAGATAAAATTCATATTCATCATAAGGCGCTAATTGTTCTCTATAACTATTGCACGGGTAGGTTGTTTAGTTTTCTCGTTTCCTCTTGTCATTCATGTGTTTGTATTAGAAAAGGTTTTATATTTGTTCAGGCTTTAAAAACAGAAGTCTGTTCCTTGACTGCCGAAATGTAGTTCCTGTTGTATGTGTCGGTTTGGTTAGTCGGAAGTTTTGTTGTCATGCTTTAATATGCGTTGTGCTACATTTGTCTTATCAATTTAAAAAGAAATCTGCCCAGCATAGTTCACCTCTTCTCGCTAGTACGGACAAGCCTGTGTTTTTTATGAAGTGTGTCCTTAAGTAGACTTAGTGTAAATGTAATTAGTATCTTCTTATCTGAAGACGAATATTTACTCAGCTTTCAAAACGGCTCCCTCATCCAGTTTTCGATCAACTGTCTGCCCATCTGATGTATGGCGTTTATATCCAGGCATCCGACTAGACATAACGAGTTCGCAGCATGTGAAACAAGATAACTGACTATATTAGCACATGCTACTTCTGTATCGTGTGCAAATTACTGGTCCGCAGAAGCCTTGCAATTTCGGTCGTATTCAAAGTGGGAACTCTTCGATCCGCGCTCATGTTTCTTCCGGTCGTACACAGGAGACTGAGCGATGGAATTATGATACTCTGACGTGTCTAGATATACTCTTGTGAGAAAACACTTAATCGACACTAACGGTGAGAATTTCGGAGTTTTTTGCTGCACTGATTAGTGTCAGTTTATTTTATTCAGACACATTCGTGTTAGTAGAAACTAGTCGAGAACACGATAGATTCTTACTAATAGTTTTTCTACGCCAAATCCGTTAATTGCGCTTGATTCATGCGTTTTTTCGTTACTGTAGCTACGCGAAATGCCACGCCGTTCTTCAAACGCTAATTCTGACGAAAGTCCAGTGACCAGACGTACTAGTGCTCGAATCGCTGCCGCCCAAGCAGCGTCCCCTGCCAAGTCTCCAGTTAAATCTCCCCGTCGTAAAGTAAGTTAGTATCTTGCTTGACACTTCCAGCGTCTGTCCACTGAACCAGCTAAAACGGTCTCTGATGACACTGAGTCACAACAGTCACAAGTTAAGAGTGAGAGCAGTATGGAGGATCTTAATGGTATCGATACTAGCTCCGTAAAGGATACCGAACCAGCTGATGATCAAGTGGAAATACCTCACAAAAAGACTAAGGTTGAGAAGGAATCAGGCGATGGTAATAACATTTATTCTGTACAACTCTCTGTAGATCAATTGTGTTCCAATCACGAGAAAAGTGAAGTTGAGGCATCCACGGAATGTGACACGGTTGTAAATCAAACTCAAGATTCAAATGCGACCTCCGCCGACTTTGAAGTTGTTGAGCATAGTTCAGTCCCACCACCTGACAGTGCCGAGGTCCAAGCAGCCATCTCAGTTCAAGGTGAAGATGGCCAGTTGTTGGTTGGATTTGTGCAAGTGAATAAAGAAGATTTACCGGCACCTAATAGTTTGGAAATAAAACAGGTTTCGGCTGCTTTGGAGTCACGTAACGAAACAACGACATGTGATCCAGGTGTCATAAGGTCGGATCCAATCGTAGAGCCTTGTGTAAACAATCTGAATGGTAATCTCGAGTTCCAAGAGTCTAAAAAAGGTAATTCTTATTTTTATACGCTTTTAAAATTTAGATGAACCTTCAAAACCCAACGGCACTGTACTTGTTGAGGCTCATCACAAAACTCCTGTCCCCATTGAAGAGCCAGTTATCCAACCACACGTTGCTCCCGTTACTGGAGATATTGTTCTCGATGCTGTATCGGAGGCGGTTTCTCAGCAGTAATTCATCTTAATTCCTCGTTTATCAAATATTGGTCACTTCACAAATATCATAAACTGACTGATTAGTTTTTCGTCGAAAATACTGTTAATCTGGCAGCCCGGTTGTTAAGAACTGGTTTTGTTTAATTGTATGTTCATCTATGGATACAAAACTTTTATAAAACTAACGAGTCAGTTATATTGACCCTCATCTACTGAACTCCACACACGTTTCTATCCATTCCCCTTATAGGTCACTGACCCTTCAGTATAAAGCAATGTGTCTGATGATATTTATACACAAGTTTTTTTCCGATATTTTGCTTCTTGTCTCATTCCTTTATGTAAACGCTTACTTCATGAAATTCACAGTGTTGATATTCATCATATACTCATCATATACGCTTGCAAGATTTTCTATTCTACTCATCATTGTATGTCTCGTTTTTAACCGATTTCCATAGTTCCATGTTTTATAGTCACTATGCAATAGTTATTTCGTTGCCTGTATTATCACACTCCATTTGCATTTGGTTGTTCATAAAAATTAAAAATTCATGTTTAATACTTGATCAATGTATTTTTAAAACTCGATATATTGTCCCATTGTTCTGTTATTGCTTTTATTTTGCTCACAAATCTCAACTGTGATAAGTTGTGTTAAATACTTAGTTCACCCTAGTTTATTAATCGAACTGATTAAATTCACTTTTAAGTGTTTGCCTTATATGTCTGGACATTTTATTACATGTAAATGTCCTAAGACCTTTGATAACTCAATCAATTCTAAGGATGATTATCCTTTGTTACTTGTGTAGATATCCCATGATAGCTTATTGGATGGTATATCCTCCAGTAATAACATGCATCAAAATCAAAGTAGGCGTTCCAAGTCGCAAAATCGTTATCATGGTCCACTGCAACCAATCAATAGCAACGTAGAACTTCGTACGTACTTACGTGCATCAGTTCAGGTTACCGTGCCAGATTAGCACAGAGATGTAATTGTCAATTTAGATCCCATAGGGTTAGAAGATATTCAAAAAGTGGAACTTAGTGAAAAAAATATATATAATATATATAAACTCCGTTTTCTGTTTGCCTGGTTCGAGTTTTACGTCCAATGCGAAGATGTTAATTACGAAAGCTACGGGTAGAATAATTGTGGTCTGATTGATCTAGTCTTCATCTATTTTCTAAATAGTAATAGTGAATGAATGTAATTGTTTAAAGGAGACGTACATATCGAGTAACAGTGACTTCAAGTATATCTAATTGGCATATAAATCTAGGTTGATTGTGAGCATCTTATCAATCGACAGTCTATAAATAAGCACAGCTTTATTTATTGGATTTGTTTGTTCCGTATCCACTTTTGTTCCCGACCGTGGCTGCTACCTTGACGTAGTGGTCAGGCGTGCCTATCGTGATGACACAACCGAGCTATACTGGCTGGAACACATGTTCCTGCAGGTCCTACCATGTCAGGCAGGTCGATTGGAGAACGATGAGACCAAAAGCAGCTACTCAAGGTCTGAGGGCGAAGTCGTACTGCTGACTGCAGAGGGGTGTGACAGCAGTAAGGTGTGTCCCTCGGACAACCAGCATCTGCAGCGATGCTGCCTTCTCATCACAAGGAAGGAAGGGTTAGAAGAGGTCGACCCTAAAAATGCCACACCTCCCCTACCTCACGGATTTCCGTCTCCGTCGGTAAGGGTGCCCACTAAGGGTCTTTAAGAGCGGAGCGAATAATCAAAAAACCTTTCTTCAAAAGGCTGTGCGTGACCGGCCTGAATCAGTTGTCTCTTGGACTCTGCGGTCACGCTTCCAGGTCTCTAAGACCAACACTAATCTATCTTCCTTTTCAGGTCCCTCAAGAAACACCCTTCCACTGTGTGGGAAGCCGCGAGGGAACATCCGCCCTCATAGCAGCACGAGAGACCCAATTGGTCGAAATCAAATCCTTCCTACACCCCCTAGTACCTCTCTTCTCTCCACAACGAACTCTACTCACAGTCCCTTTTCTCACTGCACCGCTAATACAGACGAAGCGAGTTCGCGAAACGTCATTCCTGGTCTCTTGAAACCCCGTTCTAGACTACATGTTGGAGCATTTAATGTACGGACATTGTGTCAAATAGGGCAACAGGCTTCCTTAGCTAGGACTTTAGAATCTCGTGCCATCGATGTAAGCTGCGTCTCGGAAACGCGCATACAGGATCCTAGTAAGATTATTAATCTGATTTCACCTTATCAAAATAAAGAAGCAGCTCGATTTACTCTTCGTGTATCCGGTAGCCCTGATGCTGCTTCCAGGGGTCTTGCTGGCGTAGGCATAGCATTGAGTCGAAGAGCTGAACAATCTCTCCTTGACTGGATCCCAGTAGATAGTCGTTTGTGCGCTGTCCGACTAAACGGGACAGTAAGGACTCGGAAAGATAGGGACAATCGCCGTTGCCTCTTCATCGTATCTGCCTATGCCCCCACTGACTGCAGTTCAGACGAGGTTAAAGATGAGTTTTACAGAAAGCTTTCGGAACTCCTCCAAAAAGCTAGGCGCTCTGATATCGTAATAATGGCTGGTGACTTCAATGCTCAAGTAGGTAGACTAGGTGAAAAGGAAAGACATCTTGGTGGATGTTATGGTGCAGCGACTGAGAGAACAGACAATGGCGACCGTCTGTTGCAACTATGCTCAGACAACCGCCTATTCTTAGCGAACACTAATTTTAGGCATAAGGAAAAGCATCTGTTGACCAAGCGACCTCCAAAGTCGTCTCAACATTGGACGCAACTAGATCACATCGCCATCAGCCACCGATGGAGATGTTCGATAGAAGACTGTCGCTCGTTGTGGGGCACATGTTCAGATTCAGATCATGCCCTAGTGCGAGCGCGTATTTGTTTGAAGCTTACTGGGTGTAGGAAAGACACCGTAAGAAAGCCTCTTAGGGTTTTACTTAATGATAATAGGGCGAAGAATATATTTCAGGAACAACTAGAAAGACAGTTAGGCGACCATCTAAGCGATTCCCATCCGGAAGCAGGATGGAATGATATCAAAAAGGCTGTGGAAACAGCAGTGATATCTGCTAGTAAGGTTGACCATAAGGCTAGAATGAAGCCGTGGATCTCAGTAGCATCCACCGATCTGATGGATGCCCGAAAATTCATCCCACCTGGCTCTGAACATGATGAAGAACGAAGTCAACTTAGGCGCAGGCTGATAAAAAGCCTGCGCAACGACCGTGAACAGTGGTGGGCGGCGAAAGCAAAAGCGATGGAAAAGGCAGCGGCGATAGGCAACAGTAGACAACTTTTCCGATTTATCAAGGAAACTAGTATTAGGAATCCTAGTGTAAGTGAGACTATCTCGGAAAAGGATGGGACTATTATTTATTCTCAATCAAGGAGACTGGATCGATGGGCAGAACACCTTAGGGATCAGTTCAACTGGCCTCGAGCCACTTTTCGGTTACCCACGATCTCCAGTCATCCTGAATGGCAAATCGACGTAAGTCCCCCTAGTCTTAATGAAGTTGAAAAAGCGTTAGGAAATCTGAAGCGAGGGCGAGCTGCAGGTCCTGATAGGCTTGCCCCTGAGATATTTAAAGATGATGGTCCAGTTTTAACAGTTAGACTGACCGAGATCCTAGGTAGAGTCTGGGAACTAGACGTAATCCCATCCGACTGTTCTCAATCCCAGATTGCCCCAATTTATAAGAAAGGACAAGCGTCTTGTGACAATCACAGGGGAATAAGTCTAACTAATATAGTTTCTAAATTGTTAGCCTCGATTATACTTAGACGCCTAACTAGTGCTCGTGAAGAGCGGACTCGAGAAAACCAGGCTGGTTTCAGATCTGGACTGGGATGTATAGACCACACCTTCACACTACGACAGGTCCTGGAACACAGACACACATTTAGGCGTCCGACAATAGTTGTTTTCCTGGACCTAAAAGCGGCATTTTACTCGGTAGGTCGTGAGGTTCTGTGGCAGTGTCTGTCATTGAAAGGTGTACCAAAGAAGTACATTAACCTCATACAAGCTCTCTAATCGAACACCACTGGTGGTGTCCATCAGGGATGTCCGCTTTCTCCATTCTTGTTTAATTTTATCATAGACATGCTCCTAGATATAACCTTATCCTCGTCTGAATTTTCAGGAGTAGACCTTCTACCAGGTGGCTCGCTTATTAACTTAGAATATGCCGATGACATAGTTCTAATTGGTGAAGATGCTGACAAAATGCAGAGTCTTCTGACTACCCTAAGCAACAATGCAAGCATGTTCGGGATGCGGTTTTCCCTCTCGAAATGCAAAATGTTGCTTCAAGACTGGGTTGCTTCGGCACCTGAACTAGTGATAGGGAGTGAAGTAGTCGAACGTGTAGACCGCTTCACTTATCTTCGGAGTCTCATCAGTGCCGATGGCCTGGTGACTGACGAAATCTCAGCTCGGCTACAGAAGGCTCATTTGGCTTTTGCCAACCTGCGTCACTTATGGCGTAGGCGAGATATCCGTTTGCTGACTAAAGGACAAATGTACTGCGCAGTTGTTCGCTCCGTCTTACTTTACGGCTGTGAGAGTAGAAGATATTCGTAGGTTACTGGTTTTCGATCATAGGTGTTTTCGAAGCATTGCTCGTATATCGTGGGACACCCGAGTGAGCAACGCTGTTATTAAGAGACGGGTGCTAGGTAAGAATGGCATATCAATAGATGAAGTAATGAAACTTCATCAGTTGAGGTGTTCGGGACATGTGTTACGTATGCCTAACCACCGACTGCCTCGACGAGCTTTGTTTTGTAGTTGTCGACTACCTGGTTGGGGTCCGCGAGATGATAATAATCGATGGTTAGATACCCTGAATGAGATGGCTCAAAACCGTTTGCAATGGCGCCGGTGCATTTATTTTTTGTGTTCTCTCTAATCCTAATCTTCTGGATTCTTCAACACCTCTAGTTTTGACTTTCTAAACTTTTCTCACTGAATCATTCTTCTTGAATAATATCTTCTAATCCTAACCTCTCCGATAACTTCTAATACCTTTACTGCCTCTACTACTATTGGATTTGAATTGACAATTACATCTCTGTGCTGATGTGGTATGGCAACATGAACTGATGTACTTACGTACGAAGTTCTACGTTGCATCTGACTCTGACCTTATTTTGTTGTAGCTACTTGCATCGGACGTTTTAAGTATTCATCTGTTGACTTGGAATACGCAGATCACACTTCATTTAGACGAAGTTTCTTAGGTTCCTTGACAAGTTGCAAATTATTTAGAAACCGTTATCTTCAACATGCAAAATGAAGCATCCTAATGGAGCATAGGCCGCCCCCCCCAGAATTCTACTACGTACTCTGTCCTGGTCTTTCAATTTGAGTTCCGCTCAATTGCTGTCCATTCTTTCGGTGTCTGCTTACTCTTCTTCGGCCTTGAGGGTCCCAATTTAAAGTTTACCTCGTGACTCAGTTGGGTGCTTTCCTCAATGTGTGTCCTATCCACCTCCAGCGCTTTTTCATGATTTCTTCCTCAGCTAAACGTTCTGCTCACTATTTTTTAGTAAGTTGGTTTTCTACGCGATGGGGTCGCTAAACCTAAGCCCAATCCTCTTTTATCCCGGGTCAGGGATTGGTGGTAAACCTAGAAGCGCTCATCACCAAATAACTAATACTGGATTAG